AAAAGAACTCTAGAAGTATGCAGTGTAGAGTTGGTGCAGATGTCGTAAATGTTTCCCTCCACATCCCGCGTGGTTCAGGGTTCAATATCTGGAAGAGGAGCTGCACACAAATGAAATAGAAAAGACAAGAGATAATTTGGAAATATTGGGGGACCAGGCGGGTAAGTCCAACTCAAGAGGAAGGACTTCCACCCGTGCTCAGGCCGCACTGACCTTTTATAGGCTGAGGTAAACAATGCAGTGGTTACCATAGTTACAGTTCTTGTGAGTTTCACCTGTTTTGATCATGTTTACACTCCCTGCACTTCCCTCAGCCCATTAGCTTCCCAGGTAAGATCTGGGGAGTGTTATAAGGTCAAGCCTAATTATGCTAAGAGGACTGAGCCCTCTAAGCTGGGACTTGTTTGTGACTTTGCCAGGTGGTCAGTCCGAGGCTTAACCCTATATCAGTTTCCCACAGGGAAGGCGACCCAAACTCCTGATCAGCCCTGCTCTGTGCCTGATAGGGGGGAGCTCCCCAACCCCCTGATCACCCTGCGGCTCTGTGTGTGACAGGGTGCGGAGCCCCAACCCCCCCCACCTCCCCCATGGGCCCTGCTCTGTGTGTGACGGGGTAGGTCTTTTTCGGCGCCTTATCTTGTCCTTCCATCTGAGCCAACAAGCAGCCAGCGCTGCCTCCCCAGTGCCCTCCCAGGAGGCGGACGAGAACCTCACGGAGGAGACACGCAGCCTGGGGGTCACGGAGTGTGTCCTCGTCCTGTGTGCCAGCCACACACATGGACATGCGCAGAAGTGCATTGTGGAGGCCCGGACACCCACACCGCACCCTAGCCTCCACATCCTGCCCGAGAACGAGGGACCCCCCCCTCCTGCCTGGGAACAAGGGACCCCCCATCCTGCCGGGGAACGAGGGGGCCCCCATCCTGCCGGGGAACGAGGGTCCCCCCATCCTGCCCAGGAACAAGGGACCCCCCCTCCTGCCCGGGAACAAGGGACCCCCCTC